CAGGTGGTCCGGACCCTGGGGTCCTCGAGTCCTGTCCGGATCTCCACGTCTGGAAAACTGACTTATTTTTAGTGTAAGAGGATATTCGGCGTCTTGCATAGTTTGCTTCCTGGTGTTCGGCCAGGTACACACTGTACAGCTGCTTCTCTCAGTTCGGATGTGTTTCCTAACTTGATAAGGAATGAAAACAATCTGGCGTGACTCCACCCCGTTTAGTGGTCCACTGTCTTTGTCTTAAATCTCAGCTGACTGATAACTCGCAAAAGCTGATTTCTAAAGGGTAGGTCATCTGTTTAGAGCAGCATTTACCAATTCAAATGGTAAGAATGATGAGTAATGCCAAATAAATGTTCCCTGAACAAATGAAGCACCAGAGCATCTTCGGAGCACAAATAGCACCAGTGATCAGTCTTTGGTATCCCTGGATAATCCCTGTGGGTGCTAGTAGTTGGCCCAACTTCATGATTGCCTGGCAAGATAAGAAACGCTAATTCTAGTAGTAGAGTTTGTGCCCCTATCGTGATGGGCTTGTTACTTGCTTAATTCCTTGTGTTCCAGGGAAAAGAAAATATCAGACTAAACAGAACAATGGGATTTCTTCCCAGATTGAAAATACAAGAGTGAAAAAGATACTGGCTTAGTGCAGCAAAAAAACAGGATCTATTAACAGGTGCTCTTTCTTACACTATGTTGGGCATTCTGGTCAGATTCCTTCTTGGATAACAGATAAATCTTGGGGCTTTTTAGGTTGAAAGAAAAATAAACACAACCAGAAATTGGTAGTCTCTAACTTCCACAAATCAAGCACAGTTTTATGTGTTCCTCCAAACAAATGCTTCTGTTGTCATATTCCTACCGTCTTGACTCCTAACAGCATGTTGGCTGTTTGACTTCTCCTGTGTCTCAGTAGCCCTCAGGGAAGGCTCAGGAAACTTGGTCCTATCTGAACCTATGTATACTTTCCATTTCTGCATGATCCTGTAGCAGCAAATTTTGCTAGACTTCATGTGAAATGTGTATGTCATTAGGAGCCTCTCTATTCTAGCATAGGAAAGA